TTTAGCCTGCAAACTCTTTACAGCTCACAGCTGACAAAATTCCACCAATTTACATGCTTTGGGATTACCTTTTTACATATTAGCAGGTTTTTCTTCCTTTTGTTCAAAAAGATGCAAGCAAACATTCACTTTAAAGAATATTAAGTCAGAAGAAAAAAAACAGAGGTGGCATCCTACTCACATATGTTAATACTACATATGCCTTTCCTCTTTCTTTTTTTCTTTATACAAAATAACAATGTTTTATTAAATATCTCCCATACAACTTTTTAATCTTCTGAAATCAGCTAGCAAATGACTTGCCTTGGTGGTGTGTGGGTGAGATGCTGGAAACGTGCCACTTATTAGCTGTTATTGCTGATATATCTAGGAGTGTTTTAATAGTGTAATTCCATAAATCCTAAGCTCACTCCATCAAACCCAGGCAGTCAGCTTTCATGAGCGTAAATAACACTGAAAGCATTCCCAGGAAGTCAGGTCTCGGGTTACCGAAGGAACAGGAAGACACCGGCAGACCACCTGAACACTGCCAACCGAGCACCATTTATCAGCAACACCTATGTCCTTTGTTTCTGCTGCTCAATTTTTTAGTCATATGGCACTGATCTACTTGAGTAAGGACATGCATTTAATCAGAAACTCTATCTCCCCACCTTTCACAATGTTGTAACTTTGGTTTCCTAGTCGTACCAGCGCATGAATAAGAAAATCATAGTGACCTTTTCACCTGTAAGTTAAGCAGACAGATTGAAACCAGTCTGCTCCGCATTGCTTGAACTTCCTATGATGGGGGAAATGAGAAATCTGATGTCTCACATTATATGGCTGCATTTTGCAAAAACAAAATTCAGAGCCTAAACTAACTGATTCAACGCGGTGTACAGTAGCTGATTCCATTCACCTTTTCTGCTCGCAGTTTGGCACCAGGAGGAATAATCACTTTCACAGTATTGTTGTTTATACTATACCTTTTGTCCCGGAGGCCCCTGAGGTCCCTGCAAAGGGAAAACAATTCAATTAACATCATAACTCTAGCCAATTTAAACTGAAATGGTCAATTAAAACTGTCTTATTGTGTAAGCATTCCGATACTGGACTGAAACCAGCTGATGTTTTATACATCAAGGAAAAGTAAAACTTTATGCTCAAAATGCACAATGGATCTTTTCTCTTCTCTTTTGGAACTGATCTAACTATTAACTGGAAGACTCAAATTTTCCCCCTTTCTAATCTTTTCTCTCCCAACCCATCTGTTTCTTCTAATACTGACAAATCCGTCAGCATTAAGATGACTGTGGTTTTTCTTTTTCTGATACCAGCTAAGAGCCAGTTGTGTGTCCACAGTAATATATCTGCTCGGCAGCATAAAAACAAGGTTTATGCAAACAAGTATTTTTAAGATAGAGAGAAGCATAAGCCTCAAAATCGCCTCACCTTCTAGGTATCAGCATACATGACTATGTTTTACCCAACACGTGATCTGTACCATCATTTGCAGGTTAAGAGAAAAGTCATTAAGCATTAACTTCAGAAAGCATTAAGAATGCTCTTGGGAAGTAAGGAATCACCATTTTGTCCCTATGACCTGAGAAGGCAGGAAGAGACATCTCAATTCAGGAAAGCTTAACTGCTTAATGTCATACAGGAGTCAAAGTTTCATTGATATTAATAGGACCCATTTCTCATCTGGTGTCTCTGAAGTACCCAGGCAGTTTATCGCTACAGCAGAGAAGGAGGCAGCAGGGAAATAGATCAGCTGACCATGTCTTTGACATTTTGACACTCTGTTGTGGTAACAAGCCAGACCACGTCCACCACAGTTCTTACGCACTCTTTTTCCCATGTTCCTCCTATGGGTGCTGGTGATATATCAAGTCCATGAGAGTGCAAAACAAAAAGCCAAAACTGGAGAATCCAAATCCTTCTGATGTGTGAAAGAATAAAAGAAGACTTGATTGATATCAGAACTGCAATAATTCAGAAATTCATCTTGAACAAAAGGATTGCTGCTTCATAATGCAGGGCCAATTTTTAAAGTAGTGTGAAGTTAGGCAGAATCTTCCTCTGTGGATAGGCGCAAGGCTTGTTGGAATGTTGCTCTGATGCAACTTTAAACTGCTAACATGGAAAAGCTCCACTGGTGGTAATTCTGGTCCTGTATCCACTGATGTGGATGAAAACCTTGCAGTTTTGAATGTGGAGTCATACATCTAAGGTTGGGCATCAAACCTTGCAAAAGGTTTGCATAGATCAGTGTTGCTTCTTGAACCTTTTGCCTGATCGTTTCAGCAGAACTAGGGTTCCGTAAGCATCCCCTTTTGACTATAGGGACAGATTTTCTTAACAGAAAGCCATCTGTGAGGTGCAGGGTGACAAGTTTACTCCCTTGTCTTCAAAAGGAAGCAGAAGTACCTAAGCACTCAGCACTAGTGATGATCAGAGCAGCGAGTAGAGTGTTCATCTGCTTTTTCAGACTGGAGAAAAATCCCCCCCAAGCCCATTTCAAAAAATCTGCTGTTTAAATGAGGTCTTCTTTTAATTAAGTGCCTGAATTCTAACCCTAAGATTTGCTAGAGGATGAGGACACCAGTAATACTTAACGTGGTAATTGAAGAACAGCCTATTTCTTAAGCATTGTCTTCTTAAGCAAACAGTCTCCAAGAAAACTAAAGATGGGGAAAAAAATAGATAAGAGCATGTTGGTAGGTGAGCGTGGCCTGCTGGGTAAGGAACCACAGATATAACATACCCCACAAACAGGTTTTTTTCCCTTTCTTCCAGAGAAGGAAGTAACTTTCTTCCAGTGCCTCCCCTTCTTCTGTGAGAAAGATGCAAGTTTGGCTAACATCTTAAAAACTCCAAGAAATTAATGCTCAAACTAGAGTTTTCCTACATCACCGTTACCAAAATAGGCTCCAAATGTCCACATCCAGGGCATCAGTTATCTGTTGACCTTTCACATATTAGCCAGTTGCATTTTACGGGTATTTCAGGTCTTAAGAAAAATTGGTCCATTAGTACGCCAGACTGAGTACAGAACAACTGAAGACCACCTTCATAGCTCATACCTGTTACTTTTATGCCCAAGGAACGGATATTGCCTCTTCAGTTTCTAACTACGTAAGAAGCTAATGAAACCTTCTAAAGACATTCAGCTATATCAAAGTACCATTTGGGAGCCCTTGGTACACAGCTACTATTTGAAGGTAAAATGATCATTCATTTATTAATACTATCCCCCAAAGTAAACTGTTAAATGTACAGCTCTGTTGTGCCTGGTGCCTGCAGCTGTCAGCCTGCGGGATGGATATAATTCAAGACACTGCAGATGTCTCCAGGAAAAGATGCTTCCCCAGAATTTCCCCCTCACCATTGCCATCATTCCAGCTCCTCCAGAGGAGTTACTGAATCAGAAAATATTTACATAGTAGTATAGTCTTGCTCTTATTGTGCCTTTAAAATGAATCATTCAGAGAAAAGCAGCAGATACTTATCAACAAATATTTTATACGATTAGCAGTTTCCAATTTCAGGTACTTAAGCCTTTACTCAGCCTGGAAATGGCTCTGGTGTCTCATGCCCACCGAGCTACCATGCCACTTGTTGCTGTCAAGAACAGTCCTCAAAGGCACAGCTACCTCAGCACTATGCTCAGAAAACCAACCGCAATTAAAACCTTACCTAAAGTGATATGTTTCAGAATTTACACATGATAACAAGTGCTTCCTATCCTTTGAACGTTCAGACTGTAAAACATAGCTGAATAGGAACAATTTTTCTTTAAAGCACTGCTCCCTAGCATTGGAAAAGAAGCTGAAAGCCACTGGAAACTTAGCAGCTCATCCATTGACAGCTCCCATCCCTCCCCCACATAAGCCTGCCAGAAAGTCACTTAAACAGAAAACCTGGAATGAAATTACTGACAGAAAACAACCTAAAAAAACCCCAGTAAAACACTCCAGCATTGCTGTAAAGTGCCTATTTTCTATGAGTTACCTACATTCTCTGAGCAAAGCATGTAATTGCACTGGGGAGACAGAAATAAGCAAGTAAATACAATCTGGGAGAAAGAGAAGAACATGAAGGGATAAAATAAAAAAACCTCCAAGAGTTGAGTTCATTTCCAGAGGTATAATTGATACCTTCTAGAAGAATCTATATAGGAAATTCAGTATGACCACGTGGCTTTCTTTCACCGATTATTCTACTGAACTGGGGACATTGCTGTGCTGCCCACTTGATGAAGAGATAGTAAAACCAGCCATGAACATCTCAATATAGATCTTGAGACAAGAGCAGAAGGCAAGAAACATGTGAAGGTTTCCAACCAACTCCACGGATATAACATACCTCTGTTGCAGTGCTTGACAACCCTTTCAGTGAAGAAATTTTTCCTCATGTCCAACCTAAATGTGCCGTGGTGGAACTTGAGGCCATTTCCTCTTGTCCTATCACTTGTTACGTGGAAGAAGAGACCGACACCCACCCGGCTACAAACTTTCAGCCAGTTGTAGAGGGCGATAAGGTTTCCCTTCAGCCTCCTTCTCTCCAGACTAAACAATCCCAGTTCCCATAGAGGCTCCTCATCGGACTTGTGCTCTAGACCCTTCCCCAGCTTCCTTGCCCTTCTCTGGACACGCTCCAGCTCCTCAATGTCCTTCTTGTAGTGAGGGGCCCAAAACTGAACACAGTATTTGAGGTGTGGCCTCACCAGTGCCAAGTACAGGGGGACAATCACTTCCTTACTCTCATAAACTAATTTCTTACCAGCCTAATGGCATAAAGAACTTAAGAAGGAAACCTAAACTACCAGGTGTACATGAAGAGGAAAGCGCAGGTTTCATACAAAGTATTCACCTGCATTTCAGTGGAGCCACTGATCCCATTTTCTGTGCGTAATGGGCACATAATCTAATTCTGTTATGTGTTTCATAAAGATTGCAGTTCTAGAGTACTGGTATTGAAATGTGCAAAGCTTTAGTATTGATGAATCACCTAGATAAAAGAATGACTAGCTATGAAGAGAGATTAACTATGATGGGAAACCTCATACAACTTCTGATTAAGCAGTGCCCTCCTCTCACGCTATCTACCTTAACTGATTAAAAGAGCAGCAATAACTATCAATTAGTGCTCAGGAAGAGCTTCTTATCATCATTCTCGTAGCCAACAGAGGTTTGTACAGAGGTTATAAAATGCCAAAGACTATTTTTTCTGAGATTTCCTGCAAGTTAAGGCCGATGTAATTGTTTTGGGGAAAAAAAGAATAGTTGCTGTGAGAGGCACAGGCTGAGAATTTCCATTTCATCCTCTAGTTCTTAATAAACTTTTGCAGCTAAACAGCTTAAGAACAACACCTTATAAAATTTACTATGAACATGCTACCAGAATGAAACAAAGAAGGCTGCTGCAGAACTTGTGCCATTGAAAACAAAATCACAATTAGTAGTTTCCCGGAGGAGCTATGAAGATTCACACCAGCTGAGGATCTGGCCTTGGCCATTGGCCTGAAAGGCTGAACTGAAGCCAGCAGCACTTCCCAGTCAGTTCTGCCTGGTCCCTGTGAGTTCATTTTGTTCATTTTCACCTAAGATGAAAAATTAATATTAATTCATTTTAAAGATGTGACATTTTGCAGACTTTACTGCAAGGTTACAAATTTCCACTGTCTTTCACAGAAATGGCAATATCCTTTGGAAGAACATCCTCCTTATTCTAAATAACTAGTAAAAGCAGTAACATTAGGTCTTATTTTCTTGAACAGATGCCCAGCAAGACTGTATAAGCACAAAACTACTAGTTTGGAAAACAATATATCTTAAAGCAGAGGGATTTTGCATTTGGGTTAATCATTATAATACAGATTTCTTTTGCAAAGAGACACCTTTACCTGAATTCTTTGGTTATTCCGGACTGTTCTGTCCATGCAAAACATCTGTAAAATTACTTATCTGTCTTCAAAGCCAATTTTGGGGGATAAAATAATATATGGGTTTTTTTCAGTGACAAGAAGGGGTTGATTCATACACTGAACATATTTAAATTTATTTCTTTTCCAAGGACCTGAAAACACTGCAAATTTTTATCCTCTAAATTTTTATTACTATGCACTAGTTTAAAATACTTTAAACATAAAAGCACCAAAAATTCCCCCATGTGGAAATTAGAAACAAAACCACCCCATGCACACTTTCTATCCTATTGCAGGTTATGAATCTGAAAAGTTAGCCTTTGAGATTTCCCATCACTGACTCACTTTACGTTCTCTCATTAATAGTCTGCAGCCAGAAATCCTAGCTCTTGGGCAGAAAACAATCACAATTTCATTTGTGATTCATAATGAAAATGAGAAGACAAAACAGAAAAACTCTTATATGTTATTTAAGAGTCCTTATCACCTGGAAGAGCAGATAAATGGCATGGGAAGAAGGATGAATTATTAGAGGCAAGACACAGCTTTAAATGAAAAGGTTGAAAAGCTAAAGAAACTACTGGCCTTCCCTCTTGCATAGTATACATTTTGCTAGTTCCACATAACATTTCAAAACTTAAACCCTTTGGTCGCCCCACTGCTTGGCCTTCCTCTGAATTCTGTTAATCCTTTCTGCACAGAGGAATGATACCTCCAACTCTTGTAGAAAGTAGAGCTGCAGGGCTTTCAAGTGCCATGGAAACCAGACACAAATTGCAACTACTTGTTCTTAACATTCCCTACTAACATTAAAGATGCATACAGTCACACCTTTCTAATTTAAACCTAAGCCTTGATTTCACCTAAAAAGAAATTGAACTTTCTTGGCTCAAAAAGAAAACAGATTTTTCCTGACACAGCAACATATCAAGCCAAAAAACCCCTTGCAAACAGGTCTCCCCAACATCTCAACTGCAAAGACAGAAGAGCAATAGAAGCACATTGGCAGTCTGATAATATGGAAAGATTTTCAACAGGGAATGAGAGACCCTTATACGCAACAATTAGCTTTCCTTAACCTCTCCTCTCATCACCCTGCCCCAACACATACATACTTACATCGGAAATGGGGAAAAAGAGAAGCCATTCTGTGTTTTCAAGGCAAATTTCCCTTGTGCACCTAAGATAGGTAGAGCTCTCTGATGTCGGAGCAGAACTCATGCCAGAGAACTCAAGCACTGTCATTCTCTGCATATGGTCCAAGCAAACCTCCCCTGCCTGAGAGGGAGAAAGGTTATTACTGCCACCTCTCACAACACCATCTGAAACATGATTTTCTTTTTCTTTATTGGCACAGAACCTCATTAGAAACAGAGGAGAATATGGCAGCAGATTCTCAGCTGGAGTAAATTGCCATGTCTTCACCAGAGCCACTGGATTTCTTATTTCACCGAAAGGAGAGCATGAACATTCCCAGAACTCCAAATACATTAAAATTATTTCAACTTTTTGCGAATCAAGGCACACATTCTTTGAGTAGGTCACAAGTTACTCAGCATAATAGGCTTGTGATATGTTCTGAGACACAAGCTGGAAAGCACTGTTATCTCATTATCTACTATCTTGTGCTCTTCAATAAATTCATTCCACTTCTTGTAAGAATGAAAAATAGAAAACTTAAGCAATTTCAAGCTGTGTCACTGTTGGTTCGCAAGTTAAAACTGAGTTCACCAGCTCTATTAATAACCTGTACATTCATCTAGAAATACCAAGGCATGTTACCTAATACAGGTTAAAAAAGCTTTTGAAAGAGGAAGGCTTCTAACCCCATTATTATAATCTAGAGGTCAGGCTTGCAGCTCTTCTTCACTTGAACAACACCATGGGATTTAAAGCTGTTGAGAGTGTGATCCTCTAGGCTACAAATAGCCTTTAGCTTCCACAGCCTTCAGCAAGTACATCCAAACTGTAGGGAATTGTTTCACAGCATCTGGTGCTCCTCCTTGGCTATATCCTGCCTCCATCCTGGATGAAGAACCAGAGTACATGCCACAGAGTACTTACTCCTTACTGGAAAGGGCCTTGGACATGTGGGCAAGTAGAAAACCACAGTACACCCCAACAAGTGGACCTCTGGGACACCAGGACTGGTAGTACTTCATGGGACCTATTGACATCACAGTTTTGATTTCATCACGAAGAAAAAACAGGAAGCTAACTCAGACAAAATAATTCCTGTAGAATTAATCTAGAAGCAACTCTGGGCAGAGATCTCCTTTTTAATTTACTTGGAAAAGATAATACATGGATAATACAGAAAAAGACTCTCGGGCAAAGGCCTGTGTTCTCTACAGCAAACTATACCTATTTTATCTGGCAACACAACTTTACAGCATACTTGTTGGGAAATCAGCCATTTCTGCAATAGTGTCTCAATTTCCAATATGGAAATAGAGAGATATCTGAGTGCAGAAATGCATGATGGAAGATGTCAGAAGCAGCTAGACAGCATCTGAATAGTTGTAGCGCTTGCCACAGGGAAGAGAGTCTGGAAACCTGCACTGGCATAAAGAGTATGTCAGAAGCACCAAGAAGAATAAAAACAAATTAACTACCTCCCTGATACTCTGATGGTCTTTACTTTATCTATACACAACCTAACATTTAAACCATCACACTGACTTTTAGAGCAGGCATTTGGAGCTGGAAATTCATGTAAACTGGGATCTTTCTCTAATGCAAGCTTGCTGATTTCATTTTTAAAACACCTTTTCTCCCTATTTAAACACAACTGCATTTACAGAAACAGATCAGTAGCAGTTCTTTAGTTCTTACACACAGATGGTTACTTTAGAGCAATGGGAATCTTCTGAACATGGAGACCAAAAGGTGACAGACTATGTTTTGCTTTAAAACCCCTCAGGGATTCTGTGACCCTGAATATCTGGTCTTGAATAGAAGGAAGACACTATTGCAGAATCTCAGTGAGTTTTGTCCAGAGGTCAAATAGGAGAATATTCCAAAACAAAAAAAAACCCCCCCTCCTATCCCAGCTATTGCACCTATTATTAAGAGACCCTCAGAAACCAAAAGGACAGAACAAAAAAGAGCCCAGAAGCATGCTAAAACACTGGTGGTACCTTTGGCAGGCTTTGATTTTGGTTTTGTTAAACCATTATCTCAAAAGGAACAGAACTTCCAGATCACAGCTGGTATTTCCAAGTCTCAGAATCTTACGTTTTTCTTCCACAAGATATTGGCTTTTGTCAATTCAAAATGTTTTCCAATTTGTCAGGGTAAAATGTCATCACACCTGTTTAAAACTTCATAAATTCAAACAAATAGCAATCATATCTGCACTGATTGCTGAGCATATAACCTTCCTCCTCAGAAGCACTCAGGAATCAAAACCACATGCCACGGGCTACAATTCTGTCATCTCTCATAAAAATAAGAAGGACCATGAGTATTTAGGGAGATCTTAAGGGAAAAACACCACCGCATGTTTCACAGTTCTGGGAATATGTGACAGGCAGAAACTTCTGATGCCTCACCCTGTGGCTGAAGCTGATTTACAACCAGTGGAGCTTCAATTTGCTTCCAAATGAATAGGGTTAATTAGTTCCTGATGCAACAGAAAAATTCTACTCCCATATCTGAATATTTGTAAAAAATGCATTCATTTGGCTGTTACATTCTTACACACACAGAGGAAAAAAACCAAAACCTCAGGAGAGGAGAATATTCTGAGGGTTTCACTATGCTGTGCTGTGTCTTCACTGTTCCATCAGGCAAAAGGCTCTGGCTCTATTGCCACAGAGACAGCTGGGATGTTGGCCCTTAAAACAAGTAGATGCTTCTCGTGCTGCTCAACGGTCTCAAGGTGGAAACAGCTCGACTTCAGAGACAGTGATAAGTAGGGGCCAGGAACTGGGAACTCCTGGCTTGGCTCTTTTGGCTTTGCTGTGCCCTTAGCTGGTTTATTTCCCTCAGCTTCTGCGAGCTTAAAGAAGAAGTTGGCCTTACACAGCAGGTAACTTTATGTAAAAAGAGGATGTTGTGTTTCTCATGTTTTCTTCACAAATGAGGCTTCAAATAGTCTGTGACAAAGGAAGGTTAGGAAATACACAGCTATAAAACTTTTTGGAATTTCACTTTTTAAAAAGTGTATGTGATATATATGTGTTATAGTTTCTTAGCAAACTGGAAGAGAAGAGTACTTACTGCCAATCCTTGTTCTCCTGGTTTTCCTGGCTCACCCTTAAAAAAAAAAAAAAAAAAAAGGAGCGAATCATTTGAGTAACATGTCCTGAATTCAGTTTTCTACCTAATAATAAAGTAACATATGTAATAATTCCATTCTTAAACAAGTATGGCAGCCAACTGCACATTAAACATATTACTTTTTTTTTTTTGCTTTTTAAACTAGTAGGCCAAATCTCAGTCATTTAAAGAGGCAAAGCACTATTTCACAATCATGTAATAGCATAGTTCTCAAGGCAACAGTTAAGTATTGGTGTCCTGACTCTGTCCCTTGATTCCAAGCATGATATTGCATTCCAGTCAGTGGTGCTAAAGGACACAGGGCAAGGTTACTTTCACATATATGCTGAATCCCACTGTTTACATATTCCAAAATTACTGCTCTGTGCCATGACC